GGGAGAAATGCCCATATAAGGAGTTCCACCCTCGTCTACGTCATGAAGAGCCACGATCGAAAAAAACTCTCAGAAACTTGTACAAACCTGGAAGTACGATTTTTGGCACAGAAATACTCCGTCATACGTCCAAATTGTTTTTTTAAACTTTGTCCATGCTTAGCATGAGAATCCAATTCACAACAGTGTAAACAACTCTGAATGCATGAAACAGCATTGTACCCCCCCCCCCCCTTTAAATAACAGCTACAGGCTTAATGGAATAATTCATTCAAAATGAATGCAAAACATGAATATTATTTCAGATGTTTTATACGAAAGAATAAAAAACAACATTGGATTCCATTGACTTAAATTCAACTATAACAAACTATCCTTTTACTGGAGAAGTTGATGGATGCCTTTAGATGTATAAATAGCAAATATATCTGTAGTGCTGTCAGATGTAAAATATTTTCTGTCATGTGGTTCATATTGATGTTCTCATGGTTGTGGGAACTCCTCTGAATCAGCTGTCAGATCAGTTTCCTGCAGACACACTATATTCATGATCACAAACTGTTTTTGAGAAGCATGCAATAACTTTATGATAGATTTCACAATTTGAGATTGCGTTTCCTCCATCTCATATTGCTCTAGTATTGCTTCCTATATTTTACTCCTTCATAAAATGAGAAGGATCCCTAGAGAACTTAACTAATGTGATCATACAATCTTCACAACACTACTTTATGTAACACTTTAGAATTGGACAGCATATGAACATACACTACACAAGTTTGGGGTCTGTAAGTAAAAAGGATTTATTGAGACTCATTCTGACATTTATAATGTTACAAAAGTTATTTATTTAAAATAAATGCTCTTTTGAACTTTCTGTTCATCCAAGATACCTGAAAACAAATGTATCACGATTTCCACAAATACATTAAACAGCACAACTGTTTTTAACATTGATGATAATAATAAGAATGTTTTTTCCTGAGCACCAAATTAGCATATTAGAATTTCTAAAAGATCATGTCACACTGAAAACTGTATATTGTAATAATATTTCACAATATATAGAATTTTTCCCCAATATATGGAGCCTTGGTGAGTATAGGAGTTTCTTTTAAAAAGAACAATAGTGTGTGTTCCATCATACAGCTGTTGTGACGCCTCTGGTTTGCCCATTGAAACTCTATCCATGTACTGTCCTGTCACTGTATGCTGATCTATAGTGCCCACATTCCATAGGCAGTGTGAGTGTGTGTGGAACAGAGAATTTAAGAGACCACAAATGAGTGTGTTACCGCTAACCCCTGGTTAAAAAATGTCTCAATTAACAATCTGAAGTGTGAAAGCCCATATGTGTGCAAGAAAATAGCTAAGAACAATTTTATTAGTGTGTAAGTCCTTTCATGAAAACTGCAAGCAAATACTCAAAGCTACTGACAAAATCTGTACTGAGCTGCCTTCGGCTATTTGTGCCAAAAACTGAATATCTGAAAACACAAATTTCTTCCAGCTGAGCCTTGTCAAACAATGGAGAATTACAGTATTCATGGCGAAGTGTACAGTCGTGGCAGCTAGTCCATTACATAATGGAAATGCCAGCTTAATTGCCCGTTAACACAAGCTGCAGATAGCATTGAATGTTTGTCACACTCAAGTGCACCCAGAGGGCTTTGCACTAATATTGCCAGTAACTAATCAGGTGCTCAAAGCTGCAGCTGTGGATTAGAATATAACATTTTAAGGTTGGATGGACAGGACTTGATTTTACCCATCGGGAATTGGATTGTAAAAAAGGTTGGAGTCACATATGAAACCAAATGGATGATGGGGAGGAGTAGAAAATTAAAGGAAAATGTATGGTATTAGCAGAGTTTGTCAGTTGATTCATTTTTGTCAGTTGATTCGTTTTTGTCGTTTTTTTTTTTTGTGTGTGTCCGAGCAATGCAGTGTGTTTTGCTACTGAATGAATCTGTGTTTCGTTTGAGTCAATGATTCAATGGCCCATTCATAAAGACAACACCCATCACCTACTGGCAGTTTTAGCTTCATATTTATTTATGCATTTATCCATGACAAGCTCAAACCAACCAAGGTACTATCTCAAAAACACACTCTGCAAAATCTGGTCAAGTTATCGTTATCAAAAGTAGTATGGTTAATATTAATGCAATTGTGAGCAGTTGAAAAGTTTTAACAATTTGGCCCACGCAAGAGGGCATTTTCTCTAATCCAGCCCTCAACCTAAAATGAGTTTGACCCCCATGATGTAGAGTATGAGTGTTTTTTTAAATATGCAACCCAATCTCATGAGATAATGTAACTGTTTTACTTTTTTCTAAATTGGTGGCAAATTTGTATAACTGAGCATGAAAGTCCACCCCTAAGCCTAACCCTCAGTGGAGCGTAAAGAAGATTATATGAAAATGTATGAATAAGGTTATTAAGAATTCACCACGCTTCACCAAAACCTAAAATAGTGGGTTGGAAATAGGACAGCTTCATAGTAAAACAGTAAATTGGTACTGGATTGCGCAGATGATCCTTGAATAGTCTGTGTTTTGCTTCCATTTCTTGATGACCCAGAGACTCATTCTTTTTAAAGATGCTACAGACTATTATTAGTGCTTTTAGTGTCTTTATTTTGGGCCCACCAAGTTAGGGAAGAACCTCCATGGCATTAGCTGGGTCACACAGCATGTTATGAAAATACTTCTAGAGTGTTCTTCTACTTTCTGCATTAGTTTCAAGGTATAGGGGACAATTGAAAAGTACATATCAATTTAGTGAATGTATTGAGATTTGTTTTCGGCAGTCTATGATCTGACGTCTTACGCTATAGGGTGTCAGCTTCATCTAACCAAGACTTTATTAATTTAAAATGGCAAGTTAAAAAAGTTTAATGGTTAAAAAGTAATATGGAATTCTGGGTCACATTAGGACAACAATTGTGCCATAGCTTAACCCTCTACCGCACGCATTATGATAGACCTATAGAAAAAAATATTTGAAACTTTTTATTTTCTAAGAATGGCTTAACTTGAAGTGCTGTAAAAAAAATTTGGGAAAAAAATATTATTTTAAGGGGTTAAGTTACTGAGATTCAAATAGTGTTGACAACGTTTTCACTCCCTGAGTGTAGAACGTTTCTCCTGGCAAGTTATAAATCTGTCAGTGGCAAAGGGATATCTGACAACTGGATCTTATTTTTATGTCTAAATGCTCTCTCTCGCTCTCTCTCTCTCTCTCTCTCTCTGTCTCTCTTTAATCCATTATGTCTGCTCCCCATTAGCCTCAGTAAACATGAGATGTACGTTATCAGTTATTGTAAGGAGTGTGTTTGGAAATCCTCAACTGTTGCTATTCAGAAGTGGAGCAACATCATCGTAACATTATCTCGACATAAATTCTATCTCTTATCTTGTTAACATGTCTACTGGGAAACATTATTTAGTATTCATATGAGACAGATACAAATGCTATGATGAGATTCCACCACACACATTCCACACCTCATGCTTCATGTTTGCGAATACTGATAGTAACGAGAGAGAGAGTGAAAATATGTGTGTAGTGCACTGTAAAATTAACACATCGCAGGCACATCGAGTGTATTCCTGGTGTCCAGACTGTCTGGTGTCAGTCAGAGTATTACTACATACTAGACACACACATACACTGACGCCACAGTTTCTAGCTGTTGTCTGTCATGGATCCATATTAAGGACTATGTCTCCATTTGATACACAACAAACATGTTTAAAACAGAATATCCTCTATATCTGTCACTCTGAATAAATATAACCTGTACTAGTCATAGAACTGCTAAATAAAAATACACGGTTGCTAAACAGTTTAGGCACTTTAGCATGTGGTATTGGGCATTAAACAACAAGCCAGTGCATGCTAATTCATTAGCTTGCTAATACACAAGATATAAGTTAAGCATCTATTTACTGTAAATAGATGAAAATGAATTGATTCTGAAATTATTAAGAATAGCTTGATGTGTTTTACAGGTGAAAGTGTCCTTCTTCAGAACACATATCAGTGGAGATCTTCATCATGAATACAGGTAAGTCCATTATTAAAACACTTGTGTAATTTTTAGCCACTAGTGCAACAAAACAGTTATTTTTAATCAAATTTTGTGTAAACATTGTAACATTTAGTGTCAAGAAAGACATGCAGTAAGTGCTTCTGGTTCGTCCATCACAATAAAAGGTCAAACTAAATGCATTGCATTGTGGGATATGCTATAATATTCTACACAGTAATCTCTGTTTTGCTCTTTTTAATCAAATTTTGTGTAAACTGTAACATTTAGTGTCAAGAAAGACATGCAGTAAGTGCTTCTGGTTTGTCCATCACAATAAAAGGTCAAACTAAATGCATTGCATTGTGGGATATGCTATAATATTCTACACAGTAATCTCTGTTTTGCTCATGCACATTTTGAAAAATAATATTATTGGTCCAAAATCAGGCTCCACATATGTTATATAAAATGTCTTCACATCATGCCTGGTTTAGAAACAATGTGTTTATAATCTCTCATCTTTTCCAGAATGCTGCACAAGTTGTATGCTTTCTGTAAAGCAAGATTAACCTTTAATTGCTGTAACACAATATCATTCAAAAGTTTAAGGTTAGTAAGATTATAATTGTTTTTTTTTTAAAGAAGTCTCTTATGTTCAACAGTTACATTTATTTGATCAAAAATACAGTAAGAAGTGAATTTTATTACAATTAAAATTAATTGTTTTCTGTTTTGATATATTTTAAAATGTAATTTATTCCTACATTTGCAAAGCTTAATTATTCCAGTCTTTAGTGTCACATGATCCTTCAGAAAGATTTCTTATATGCTGATTTGGTGCTCAAGTAACCTTTTTTATCACTGTTTAAAAGGGAAATTGATCATTTAAATATTTTTTAACATTCTACATGTCTTTACGGTCACTTTTGAACTATTTAATGCATCCTTGCTTAAAAAAAAGAAATAAAAAAACAAACTTTTGAATGGTAGGTAATCATTTATCGTTAAATTATTTTATTTTATTTTTTTGCATTGTCTTTGGTGCAATAATGTTGCATTAACAATGCATGTGCTTTGCTTTCTGTTTGTTTTGCATGTGTGCTTCTGCGTGTGCGTGTGCAAACAAACATACTCCAGATAGCGGAGGACATGCTCATAAAAGAGCATCCCTGTCGCTCACTCTCTGGCCTGTGAAGAGGGTCCAGAGCTCACCCAACCTGTACACTGCTGCAGGTATCAGTGATGGAGCACGGCTGTCTAAGACACAGCTCTTTAAAATAGACTTTTTAGAATGTGTTATCTCCTTTTGCTTACTGTTGTTTCATCTGCCTTAGTATTTAAATGTGTTTTCTCCCCGGTGTTCTATTTGTGTTATGTGTGCTTGTTTTACATGTGTTCACTACATCAGTTGTGTTCCATATTTTTCTTGCTACATTTGTCTATTTTTTTCTTTTTTTTATGTCCTTAGATCTTAGGAGATGAGAACAGAGGTATTAGATTTAGGATCTTCCATGTTGTCAATATATATGTTAATATTTTAAAGACCAAATACATGTTGCCTATTTAATATGTTTTACTTTCTATTATACATACAGATTTACACAAATGTTTCACATCTGTAAAAGTTTAACATCTTTAAATTAAGCCTGTCAATTTACTGAGTTAATTTTGGGTGGTTATAGCCATCATATGATGGTCATATGGTCAGGTCATATGATGTTGCTAAAAAGAACATTATTTTGTGTATTTGGTGTAATGAAATGTGTTTTTTAATTGTGTGCCTTATCGCATATTTAAATGCAGTAATATGTAATTTTCTTACTATCAGAGCAATTTAAGATTAAAGTTAATTTGATTAAACTTTCTAATCAATTGATAGCCCTACATTAAATAAGAGCTTTTGATGCAATTATAACATACTAGTGAAAAAAGGGACCTAGGATGCATTTTCTCTGAATGTAAGCTTTTCTATAACGGTTTTCCGATTGAATGTAATCTAATCTGCCTTCTGAATGAAAAAATAATGCTCCGTCTGCAGTCAGCTATATTGAATACTATGTGTTGTATGCTGTAGAGACAGTTCAGGTTTTAATTAAATCAATAAAACCATTTACCCTTTCAAAAAAAAAACAACACACACACACACTCAATGGGCCCTATTTTAACGATCTAAGTGCATGGTCTAAAGCGCGCGGCGCAGGTGCACTCAGGGCGTGTCCGAATCCACTTTTGCTAGTTTAACGACGGGAAAACGGTCGGCGCGCCCGGGCATATGGTCTAAATGGGTTGTCCCTATTCTCTTAATGAGTATTGTAATGGGTGTTTTTTGGGCGTAACGTGCAATAAACCAATCAGAGTGTCATCTCCCATTCCCTTTAAAAGCCAGTTGCGCTCGTGCCATGGCGGGTTCGCTATTTAGATGGCGGAATGTAATTTTTCATTTTTAAAAATGTTTGTGTGCTGCTGCATGTCCCTGTGTGTGTAATAAGCAAAGTGTACGCACGTTGTGCACCCGCCTATAGGCGCATATTACTAACGCGCTCTTTAAATAACAAGCAAAAAATATTGCGCCAGACTTTAGACCAAGTTTTTGTTGGTCAATGGCACAGTCTATTTCAATTGCCTCAAAATAGCAACACGCCTGAACACACCTCGTTTTTCAGACCAGCACGCCCATTTGTGCATAAATGGGCGCAAATGCATTTGCTATTGCCACTAGGTGCCGCTTTTGGAGTGGTAAAAATAGAGGTTTCCATGGTAACACTGTACTTATGCACTATTCCATGACATTTTGTAGTATAAATAGTGCGGTTTTCCGATTGAATGTAATCTAATCTGCCTTCTGAATTAAAAAATAATGCTTAGTCTTCAGTCAGCTATATTGAATACTATGTGTTGTATGCTGTAGAGACTGTTCAGGTTTTAATTAAATCAATAAAACCATTTACCCTTTCAAAAAAAACACACACACACACGCACACACACACACACTCAAGGAGATTTTAATGTAAAAATAAAAAGACTAGCTGCATTTTTCTGTGCTGATAGTTACAAGGATCCAGGCATTTTCACTGTTATATTCTGCTGGTTGAGTGAGTTTGCTGAAAAAGTGATCAAGGAGATTTTAATGTAAAAATAAAAAGACTAGCTGCCATTTTTCTGTGCTGATAGTTACAAGGATCCAGGCATTTTCACTGTTATATTCTGCTGGTTGAGTGAGTTTGCTGAAAAAGTGACATGCTGTCAAGACCTGCCAGAGATATGACAGCACGTCTTTCATTTTTGAAAAGCTGCTGGCCACAGACAGGCAGTCAAGCATTCATTCACAGATGCACAGTTGTACTCTTTTAATGCTGAATTGTTTAAGGCATGGACAGGTTTGACGAAATACAGCAGATGTTTAAACAGCAACATGGAGACCATGCTCTTCACTTTTACTTGTAATAGCCCATACAATGCTGCAACCTCTATCATTAGGACAGCATGTGTTCATGTATATTTTGCAATATACAGGACCAGAATTAATTGTTGTAAAATCTATTAGTTTGTGTTCAAAATTTAAGCTTGTGTTCTTCCAATCTTCGAGTTTACATATTGTAGTTTTAATCATCATTATGAGAGTAGTAGGTGTTTCAAACTTTGTGTGGTCTTATACTAGCGGTCTCTTTCTTTCTCTGTGTTCAGTAGCAGCTTCTGCTCTGTAATCTTCTTGTTCTCTGTAATTCTGCATCTCTCTTTTCATTCCCATATTGTGGACATTATGCACCAATGGCAGGGCCATCTCACATGGTGTAATAAGCAAGATAAGACATAACTAAAGAAAAAACAGCTTAGTTAACAGCTTAGTAGTTCAAAATATTGGCATAGCATAGGAGTATTAAAAAGAAAACCTGATCCATGTTCTCCCTTAGTTTCAATGGGTATGACCTTTCTGCATGTTTTGTGTCTTTTGTCATATGTTTGTCTTGCTTTTCTGTGGTCATTCTATGGTGTTATCATGGTAAATGCATTTTTATGTTTATTTTAATGCATCTTTACTTTCCATAGGTAGTGATTCCCAGTCATCAGATTCAGGCAAGTGTTTGTTGGATGTGTATGTGCGTCTGTCTTCATTATTGTGTTTATATAAATATTAATGTGTACTATACAGTGGACACATTAAGTATTTGGGCACTTAGGAGGCATTTTACTACATAAAAAAGCATTTTAGTATTTTGTAAATATGTTTATAATAGTTATTAATATTTTGAAGTAGCTTTTTTATATTTTCAGTTTGTCGATTTTTGTTAAAGTTTTAGTGATTTAGTATTGTGCTTTTGTCATTTTTATTAGATTTTTTAAACAAATGTATATATTTAGCTATGTCTGTGTGTATGTGTGTGGGGGGGTGTTAATTTACTTATTTATTTTATTTGTGTGTAGATGCCTGGCGTTCACGCAGTGTGTCTGAGGGGTTAAGGAATGGAGATGCCAGCAGCGCGTCCTTGACTGCTAAAGGCTTCCGCAGCATTAAACACAACCTACAGGATAAGAAATCTCCCACACCGGTACACATTCATTCATAATACTTTGTTTTTTAAATAAGCTATTAATGCATTCCTGCTTCTTGATCATACTGCTGTTAAATTTTGCACCCTATTCATTTTATTTTCACAACAAACAATCCTCTGCTTTCATATTATGTGTTACTTTGAAATGATTTTGCTTCACAACTGTTTGGATTAATATTGGTCATGGTCTTTTTCCAATATGATAATGTCTTTCTAGAGGATTCATATCAAGTGTGATTTTCTTGACCCCTAAAGCAGTCGAATTGAAATTTCTCTGAGAAAATTTGCTTTATTTAAACTGACTTTACATATTTGAATTGACCTTTTCTCTATCAGGTCCCCTTGCCGCCCCCTCGGAGAGAGAGCTATCACATGACCCCTAACCCCCCATCTTACAGTTCCCTTGCAATGCTGTCAAACACCTCCCTCTCTTCCCCACAGAGTAATGATGTAATTTCCTCAGGCTCTTACACCATCCAATCTAGTGCCACCTCCTCATACTCATACTCTAAGACCACCCGAACCTCCACTAGCACCTCTGGAGCCCCCCTCGAGGAGCCCCCCTTGTCCCAACAGGCTAATGCTAACAGTTTTATCACTCGGGTTCTGGGGAACAAATTGTCATCTTCAAAATTCTCAAGTGACCAAATAAATGCAGCACCTAACAAGATGAAGATGATTAAAACTGACCCAAAGTCTAAAACTAAGCCAAAAAGTACATCTGCTTCCCCACCTCAAGACCCCACTGCTACTTCTGAAACACACGTAGCTTCTCTCTCCATCCAGTTAGCTCCTCGCAGTCCAGAACCTCAAGCAGAGACCCAGTCAGGGCTTGAGACTAAATCCAGGACAAACGCAGTGGACCCCGCTGACCCCATGCGAGCCCCTGCTGTACCACCAAGACCAGCAAGCAGTTTGGTGGTATTATTGTCATTTATTTACAGTGATAATGTACACTTATACTACTAGTCAAAAGTTTGGAATAATGACGATTTTTAAATGTTTTTGAAGTCTCTTATGCTCACCAAGGCTGCATTTATTTGATTAAAACTACAGTAGAAACAGCAATATTGTGATAAATACCATTTAAAACTGCTTGCTTTTTGAATATATTACTGTGATGACAAAGCTACATTTTCAACAGCCATTTCTCCAGTTTGCAATGTCACATGATCCTTTAGAAATCATTCTAATATGCTGATTTGTTGCTCAGTTATTGTCATTTATTATTGGTATTCAGTTATTAATAATTTTTCTTATTATTATCAGTTTAAAACACTGAACTCTCTGCTGAATGTTGAGGATTCTTTAAATAGAAAATTCAAATAACAGCATTTATTTGAAATATAAATCTTTACACATTATACAGTGTCTTTACTGTTACTTTTAATCAATGTAATGCATTCTTGTTGAATATAAGTAATAATTTATTTTAATCATTTATTTAACATTTTTGAATTATTATTATTATTTTAAATCTTACTTACCTCCAACTATGGAATAGTAGTGTGTCACAGTTTCCACACACACACAGAATATTAAGCAGCACGGTTTTCAACACTGATAATAAGAAATGTTTCTTAATCACCAAACTAGCATATTACATTAATGACTTCTAAAAATTAAAAAAATATATTAAAATATAAAACAGTTATTTTAAATTATAAAAATATTCCTAAATTGTACTGTATTTCTCATCAGATACATGCAGCCTTGGTGAAATCTTAATTAAAATTTTATTTTTATATGAAAATTGTGAAATTCCAAATTTTGGGAAATTTTGGTGTCTCTATTTCTTACAGTATACTCACAGTGTGACCCATTTAGCATTCATTCATCTTCATCTGATGGAATGGAGTGAACGTACACAGACAGCTTGATGAAAGAATGTGTGTTTACTGCTAATTACTATTTTATTTTATTTTTCCGGCAACCTTTTATTCCTTCCCACAGTTTCACTTGTTCTTCTTCACTCAACATGGTTCAGTGTGCCCGTATGTCACTTCTTGCTCACCGGCTTTGCTTTATGTTCACTTTCAATTCTTGTCTTCCTTCCCTTTTATTCCCTCTCACCGTCCTCCATCAGCGTGAGTTTTCCCCTGTAAGAGGGAGCACCGGGCCGCTGTCTTCTGGACCGCCCTCCCCGGACCCTTCAGCTCGCCGGTCACTGTATAGCCGGGCCAGTCAGGATTCCCCTGACTTCCTGTCAGGGCTATTGCCCAAAGCCCTGTCGCCGACACCCTATGCCCCTCTGGAACGTTCCGGGCTAATGTCGGCCTCACCTGTCCCGTCACCAGTAACCGTGTCAGCGCTGAGTCATTATTCATCATCCACAGCTGGGCTGGAGGAGCTGCAGATCTGCGGCATGGACTCCTCCCCCGCAGGCACACCCACCCCATCCCCCACACTCAGCCACGCCTCCAACGCCCCTGACGAGCTTCCTGCCGCCCCGTCAGCTGCCACGGGCACTAACGTAACTATCACGCTCAACTGGCACACCTCACTCCAGTCTGGTGCCACGTTTGTTTGAATCTGCTCGTGTTTGTATGTCATCACCAGTCTTTCAGCGCTGTTGAATGTCTTACTTTGAGTCACATGCTTGAATGTGTCAGCTTACAGCAGGTGGCTGCTTTGTCTTTTGTTTTATGCTTGATTTTCACTCTGTTTTATGTATGCAGTAATTCATTGTATGCTATGTATGTTGTTTCCCATTTAAAGTCAACATGCACACATGTTTTAAAATGAAACAGTATTAAAAATTGTATCGAGAACAACAAATATATATATATACACACAATATATATATATTAGTTGTTCTCGATACAGTTTATATAATATACTGTATACAACTGGCAATCATATACTGCTAAAAATATATTGTAATTTGCTATTGCTGCTGTAATGTTTATTAATATATAAATGTACACTACTGTTCTAAAGTTTTGAGTCAGTAAGATTTTTGGTGTTTTTAAAAGAATAAGGCTGCATTTATTTGATCAAAAATACAGTTTTTGTACAAAATACAATTTAATATATTTTAAATAATGCAATTAATTCCTGTGATGTCAAAGCTATATTTGTAGCAGCCATTACTCCAGTCTTTGGTGTCAGTTATTATATTCTAATATGCTGATATGGTGCTCACAAAACATTTATTGTAAATATCAATTTTGAAAACAGTCTTGCTGCTTAATATTTTTGTGGAAAACCATGATGCATTTTTTAAGATGCTTTGATTAATAGACGTTCAAAAGAACATTTCAAATAGAAAATTTTTATCAATATAAATATTTTACTGTCACTTTTTGATTAATTTAATGCATTCTTGTCAAATAAAATAATTCATGTCTTATTTAAAAAAAATAATAATACAAATAAATAAATCTTACTGACCACAAACATTTAAATGATAATGTGTATATATATAATATTTCATACTATATATTAATAGAAGTATGAAGTCCAGGTATGTGTATGACAAAAGAGGACATTTTAATTCCATGTAGACTTTAGGGTTCTTATGATGACCTGTGATTTCCTATGTGACCTTTCATGAAGTTTTGAGATTAACATTTGCATTTTATATTGCCGCTGTTGACTGAAGACTTGAACTTCTTTGGAATGAATGTATAATGGTACCATATTCCAGTGTTAACACTCTTTCTTACATAGATTGTCCTGCACTCATTATCTACTAAATGTTCTTTCAAAGTGTGTTTGTTGTCATGTAGTCTAACAGTTTTTCAGTTACCTCTTCATTTGTCATATTTGTCATCCCTTATGTTACTACAGAAGCACCAACATCTGATCACAACCTTTATCTTTTTTGTAACAGCGGTAACAGCGGTAATGACATTTCTCACATTTGTTGTACAGTATCTTTTGATGTGTGCTCTCATGTCTTACATTTCTCATTCTTCTAACTTCTTGTCCCATAGCTGTCACCCACTCATACTTGTTTGACGAAAGTGACTCTACAAATTACATATTTCCATCTCTTGTAAACTGTTTTTTTATTTTTTTATATATTTTTTTATGTTGCCCATGGTCAGATGGCAGTGAACGGAAGCTCTCAATCTCAGAGGCCCTTCTCGCCGCCTGTGTACCCACCTCCACCCCCAACCCTCAGCCCAGGCCTGGTAAAGATCCAGCAGGGTCGAAGTTCAGGTGAGAGGAAAGTCCCACACAGACCTCTGGCTAGTATTGCAAAGCAGAGTTTCAGCCAAACGTTGCTTATTCAGACCTAAAACCGCCCACTTAGACTGGAATAGGATGTCTGAACCACATGTAAAACTAGTTTTTGTATGTGATGTAGACATAAAAAGAGAGATAGTAACTGCATCAGACAAAATCTGTATCAAAATAGCCTAGTAGATAGGCCTACTACTTTTTGTTTGAAACCTACTTCATGACTATTTGGCATTATGGGATAGTAAAGTGTCCATGACACTCCAAAATCTTGAGGGACATAGTAGGTCATCCAGGTACTTTTGCATATTTTATTTTAGAATACAATGAGTTTAGACATACTCTTTGGTGTACTGTTTTTCGCTTACCAAATAGTATGGAAGTAAGCCTATTTGGACACATCAAATGTTTTCTAAAAAACACTTTCCTCAATTGTGTTTGTGTCCTTCTATTGATTGAGTACTAGTATTGGCGCTCTAAAATAATGGATTTGTAATGCACAATTCTTGTTAGTGGATGCCTGTATTGGCAGTTAACGGTGCAGTCCGGTCCTCAGGATATGATGCATTTGCATCCATTAGGCCAGACCGGAGCAATCAATACCTGAACACAGGGAAACTGAGGAGAGGCAAAGCTCTGACACTTTGGTTGGGGTTTGCTTAGGAAGGCAAATTCATACAATTGTTGTAGTAGTTTAAAGAAAATATGCTGACAAATAGTTTGCTGTAGTGTTTCCTCATGTCATTGTCTTTTTGCTAGTGCAAACTTGCATAGATGTGAAGGAATAAAAGTAGCTGTCTCATTTATGCTGTGTCATACATATTCCATAGTTCAGGGTGCTTAGTCAGGGTGAGAGCTTGTGCCATGTCAGTGTTCCTGCTCTATTAGATTAGATTTGACTGTGAATGTCCAGCTCAGACACTATATATATTTTTTGGGCTGACACTGTGTGATATTTGCCATGATTATGCCATCTGATACACATTTTGGGAAACATTATAGATTGCTTTCGTCAAAGGCAGTTTTTGATCGCTTAGTGTGACATTCTCACGGATGGCCAATTAATTGCCTTTCTGATTAATATTAGCATCCAATGAAGTACTGACACTAACACATTTTGAGTGCTGCAGTGTGACTGTATCTATGGCAGCAGTCTAATGAAGAGCCAATAGCAGCACTGCAATCAATGATGTGTGTGTGAGTGAGAGATGTTTAGTTAAAAAGGTTGATACTAGGTTTTTGCACTGTCTTCCCTCACTGTTACCCAGGAACTCACTGGGGTCACAATTTGAGAAGAATCAATTGTAAAGGACAGCTCTTTTTTTACTCTTTCCATCTGTCTCTAACCTTTCTCTCTCTCTCTCGCACTCAGAGGGTTCAGAGACGGTGAAGAGAGAGACCGTTTTCTCTGGTCAGACAGTGGTCAGTAGCTCTGTGCCCATCGCTCGTTTCTCAGAGGAAGAGAAGAAGGTGTCCATCATAAAAGCGCCCCATTACGAAGGCATTGGACCAGTGGATGAGTCAGGCATTCCCATCGCCATCCGAACGGTGAGTGATATCCAGACATTTTTAAGGGAACTGACAAAAATTACAAATTAAAAACAACTACACTTTAAAAAAGATTGTCCTTATTCCTTAATAAAATAAAGATTACTGAAAGTAAATACTAGTCTTTCTACTTAAAAATTGCATATTCAATGTGTTTCTTGCTGTTTCTTTGTTATTATTTGTGAATTTTAAAAGCAAATTTTGAGTGAAAATTATTACAAAGTAAATACTACACCATTTTTCAGTGTATTTTGCTCCTTTAAATTTATTTCACCTATGTTTCACTGTAGCAAATTTTGAGTTCATTATATATACACTAAAATTTATACACAGTTTTGTCATTAATGCATTAAAGTATTTAGTGATTTTTTTGTCTTTAAAATTATGACTGATATATTTACAGATAAGTAATTTGTCTGCCCATAACTGCATGTGATACAATCAGTAGACATTAACTATTTATTATAAATCAGTTCATTCTGGATTTCAAATTTTTTTGGTTGGCATTTAGTCCAACAGCACTGAGACTTTTCACTGTTTCACAATCAGACAAACTGCCAGTCTGCAAGTTACATCCTTATGTGTATGTATGTTGCAGCAAAGGATTGTCTTTAGGAATGAGTCACTGAATCATTTATTCTACCGATTCGTTCAAAACACTGATTCATTTAGGAAAGAGACAGCTGCTTGTTGCTCGGAAGACGGGAGTGGTTTTGACATAATTTGGAAATATTTTTGTTGGCAAAAAGTTACTCAATAATAATTCCATGTATTGAACTGTTTATATAAATGTACTACCAATGAGTTGATAGTGCTATACAACATGAAGGCACAGAAATAGAAAAAAAATATATATATTGACAGAATATTCTGCTGCTTATCGCGCTTGTGACTGGTTAATACAAAAACTGAGATTTACATGATGTTTTATTACCTGTTTTATCAAAACAAAACCAAGCACTCTTTCTTTCTTTCTGAATGATTTAAACAGCACAACATCTGTTCAGTCACTGGTCAGTTTAAAACAACAGATCAGCTGTTAATGATCTGTTTTGAGGGCATTTTTTCTTGATTTGTGTTTAAGTTGTTTTGACATTTGATCCTCTTATTGTGGTTAGAGGAATGCTTCTGAGCTCTCAGCAGGTCAGACTGTCTGTGAATGTGTGTGTTTGTGAGAAGAAGAGAACATTCCTGGCTCTTTCCTGGAAGGTTACTATGATACTCCCTGTCTGTCTCTCTCACTCTGTGCTCTGGTGATTTTGTTGGTTGTCAGGTAATGACAAATGCTGTTAGCTGTTTGTGCCCTTAGCCAGCAAACTGACAAGGCAACCACTTCTGTGTGTGTGTTTGTGCTTCTATTTAGACCGTGGACAGACCCAAGGACTGGTACAAGACCATGTTCAAACAGATCCACATTATCAGTGTTGAAACTGTTGTGCTGTTTAATATTTTTTTGGAACCTGTGATACTTTTATCTTTGATTCTTTGATTAATAAAAAGTTAAAAAGAACAGCATTTATTACAAATAGAAATCTTGTCTAACAATATAAGTCTTTACTATCACTTTTTATCCATTTAACACATCCTTGTTGAATAAAAATATTAATTTATTTAAAAAAAGAAAGAAAAAATTGACTGATCCCAAACTTTTGAGTAGGAGTGTATATTGTAACACAACACATTTATATTTTGAATAAAAATGGTTCTTTTTAACTTTTTATTTATCAAAGAATCCTGAAAAAGTATCACAGGTCCCAAAAAATATTAAGCAGCAACAACGGTTCAAAACATTGATAATAAAATGTTTGTTGTTTACCAAATCAGCATATTTCTTACAGAATTTGGTGTAGAATCAATTTTCACCCAGAAATCGCTAGTAAATTTCATAAACATTGTTATATAAAATTGGAATAAAAACACCAGTTTTCTCATTCCAGGATGACGCAGAGGGTCTTTACTGTCAAGAGCAGATCAACCGCTCCATTTACTGGGCAGATGGTTATGTGCTCGTCTTCTCCATCACTGACCTCAACAGCTACCGTACCATCCAGCCTCTCTACCAACATGTGCGGCGAATCCATCCCAACAGTAACATCCCTGTTATCATCATGGGAAACAAGAACGACCTGCTGCGTGCCCGGCAGGTCCCGGATCACGAGGGTAAGGCGCTAGCTGATGAATTGGGAGGGCCCTACTTTGAGGCTTCGGCCAGGGAAAACCATGAGAGCGTCCAGGCTGCTTTTCTGTTTTTATGTCAAGAGGTAAGCCGAGCGCTGGGAGGAGCAAATGGGGAGAAGAGAAAAGGTGGACTACACCTTGCCAGGCCAAAGAGCCCTTCTGAAGGATCATGTGACACTGAAGACAGGAGTAATGATGCTGAAAATTCAGCATTGCTTCACAGGAATAAATTATATTTTAAAGTATATTAAAATAGAAAACTGTTATTTTAAATTTCAATAATTTTTCACAAAATTACATTTTCTTTCTGTATTTTTGATCAAATAGATATAGCCTTGATGAGTATAAGAAAATTATTTAACAAAAATAAAAAATCTTACTGATCCCAAACTTCTGAACAGCTGTATAATTTTATATTTTTGCATTACATTCTATATTGTACATTTATAAATTAAAAACCACATATTTTGTGATGTTTGCTTTAAAAGAGCAATTTTATTTCTTATTATATTACTTTGTTACTATTTTTTTGATATAAATGCAGACTTGATGAGCATGAGACAATTCAAAACTATGAAAAACTTACCAACCCCAAACTTTTAAATGGTAGTGTACAATCATATGTTTATATTTTGCTGTAACGTCCAAATGTATAGCAACTGTACATTTGTTTTATTGATATATTATATTACTCTGATATTTGTGCTTCTGTTTTAGAAAATTACCCTCCTGTCCATGCCCACCCACCCCCTCGAACGCACACCTACCGGCCTCTCTCTAGAAATACCTCAGACATGCCAGACGGTGCCGCCCACCGGGAGCTCTCGCCATCTCCCGTGCCCCCTCCACCCCCTCCGATGCTCTCTCTCGTCCAGCTCCGCTCACGAGACATGGACAGAGAGAAAGAGTTCTCGCACGACCCGTAAGACACCTGACCTCATGAGCTACACTGTAAAACTCAGTCATGAGTTTGCTTATCATGAGCCATGTGGTGCTGCAGCAAGCTTTCTTTTCCTTTGTGTATTAGGTAAAATATTGGTAAAGGTTTGCACTAAAATCAGTCTATTAGAGTCATTGTGCTGTGGTCATGATGGGGACAATGCAGTTTTGAATTTTGCCAGCAATACAGTATGTCCCAATCTTCCCCTAATAATGTCTCATTCTACTGTGTTTGTCTAATAAAGCAAGACAAATGAAATGCCTCAATAGAGGAATTCCCTCAGTGTTTTATGTCTCCTTTGAAAGCAGTTGAACTTTTGTTTTGCATTGCAGATGTAAAATACTGGAAGGGTGTCAGACAAAGCGGTGCAGTGGCTCGGTTTAGGGAACAATGAGATAGAAATGTCAGGAGGCTGAATCATTGCACTGCCCTCAGCACAAACACAGTGGATGTGGCAGTAGGAGATGTCCCATGTGGCAAAATGAGAGGGCAGCATGTACAGTCATAGCTTGAGGAAGAGAGAGAGACTTTGGAGAGAAGAGGGGAAGAAGCACAATGTCTCCCCCTTTTGGACAGTACTGAGAGGCACAGTAATATCAAAGGGATAGTCCACACAAAAATGAAACTTCTACTCACCCTCATGTCATTTCAAACCTGTATGACTTTCTTTCTTCTGCTGAACACAAAAGAAGATATTTTAAAGAATGTTGATAATCAAACAGCTTTCAGTTCTCATCCAAGTCAATGGGTACCAAAACTGTTTGGTTAACAACATTCTTCAAAATATCTTCTTTCTTGTATAGAAAACAAAATATTTGGAAGAAATGTGGTAACCAAACAGTTTAAGTTCCCATTGATTTCCGGTGTATTTTTAGTCCATACCTTGAGGTCAATGGGACCTGAAATTGTTTGGTTACAAACATTTTTCAAAATATCTTCTTTTATGTACCAGGTTTTGAATTACATGAGACTGTTTTTTTTTTTTTCTTTTTTTGGGTAGACTCTTTTTAAGTCTTATTAATTGTTATGATTTGTCATTACATGTTTTGTGTGTGAGAGAGAGAGAGTGTTGATGACCCACAACATCCTCCTCCTCTGTTCTTTGCTCACCAGTCCTTGCAGCATATTTTGGTCCTCCTAACCTTAATTTCCATCTCTCTTTTCCTTTCATTGTTTTTCCTCTTTCCCTTACCTCTCTTTTTCTATGTTGCTTCTTGCTCCAGATGTTTGATTTAAACCCAGATGACATAGATTTAGAGAATGAGCCTTGGTTTAAATTCTTTTCCGAGTTGGAGTTTGGACGCCCGGTAAGTTGAGTGAGGGCGCGGCAGGTTGGCATGCTGTAGGCTGTAACCTCCTTGTCTGGTACACACATGCTGTTGTGTAATGACAAGCTGTGTGTGTGTGTGTGTGTGTGTGTGTGTGTGTGTGTGTGTGTTTTTTAAAATTCAAGTTCTGACTTGTTCAGAACTTGGTGTTATTTGCACACTGAAAACAGAAAAAAGACATTTAACATCACCACAATAACAATGCTAGAAGCAGCGGGTGAGGCATCAGACACATATGATATGTCTGATGTTAAATCCTAAGGCATGATTAATAATCATGCTCTGTTTTCAAAACTCTCACCAAAAGAGCAACATTATCTGTACTTGTGATCTATTTATGGGGTACAATGTTGTCTTTAGAAGAATGTCATTGGTTTTTAAAAAGTTTTAACTTTGAGTGTGTAACACTGCGTTTTCGCTTTGGCTCTGTTTGCAGTATCACACACCTGTTCTTACAAGCTTAAAGCTCTTGCAGCTGCAGAACCTGTGCAGAAAACACTATCAAGTCAAGTTTAACTCTTTTTTTATTAAAAATGAAAAGACTTTGGATAATACAGTGGCCCTAAAAAGGATTTGGACACTTAATCCATGCATCCAACATATAAACATTGCACTTTCAAGCTGAACATTTTCACATCAAGAAGTTCTAAATACTAAAAGAATAGATAAACTGTACAAAATTGTAAAAGCCAACTTTCTGGTTGCCAAATTAGTTCAGCATGTATTCTACTACTAGAATGTAACCAAATATTAATGATTGGGTGACCAAAGGTAAAATAATAGTTCACTTAAAAATTCACTCAAATGTGTGAGTGCTATTATAATTATTATTTATTTATTATGTATAATTTTGAAGTATTAATTTTGATGGAGATGCATCACCATCAATATCTATGGAGATTTATGTTGTGAACCCTCATCAAGTCACTTATGCTCACCAAAGCTACATTTATTTGATCAGAAATACAGTAAAAACAGTAATATTATTTTTTTTAGTGTGTGTAATATTATTACAATTTAAATGTTTGCTATTTTAATACATTTTATAATGTAATTTATTTCTGTGATGGCAAAGCTGAATTTTCAGCAGCCATTACTCCAGTCTTCAGTGTCGCATGATTCTTTAATGGATAGAAAGTTCAAAAGAACAGCATTTATTTGAAATAATAAACTTTTGTAACATTATGAATGTCTTTAGTGTCACTAATGAAAGTATTATTATTATTATTATTACTTTGCTAAACCTTACTGACCCCAAACAAAGTGTAAGTGATTCATGAAAAGGCAGTAAATTGTTAATATAGATAGAAAAACTATCAATGCTGATAACTTCTCACAAGATTCTCATCATTTCCTGCTTCCTTTTGCATTTAACATTGTATTATTAGCAATTAGCATTGTGCGCCATATTACTGTAACGTATATAAAAAAAATCATATTGACCCCAGACTTTTTAATGTTGCCAATATCCCCAAAAATTATATTGGGTGACTAAGAGGAGAGTAATTTGTTCCAAAGTCAGAAATTCTTATTTTATTTAATCTAATGCAATAAAATTCATAAAAATGTCTATATTTTGTAGGCCACTCTGTATGTTCATAAATGAGATATTTATGCACAGTTCCTCCAGCTTTTATAAACACACACTTCCTGGCTTGTTTACTGATTGAGTTTGCTGCTACCATGTGTAAACAAGCAAAATATGTGTGAAACCTTTATGTAGTTTCATCGTTGTGTGTATTATATGTACACACAAGCAGCAGTGTGTGTGTGAAATAGGTGAAGCATGTGTGGGCACTTACTTTCAACACACCAAGATTCACTGTATTCACCCTTCGTTTGTTTGTACACTGTGTGTGTTTTGTGTGATCTCTGTTTCTTCATGCCCTAACGTTGTCACTCTCTCCACATGTGTCTTTTTACCATGATGCACCTGCTTCTCCACCTCATCTTCACCTCTTCACCTCTGTGCTGTTCGTTTGTTCGGGTGGTGGGGCATCCAGCCTCCTAAAAAGAGGTTGGATTATAATCCTGACTACTCCACACATGCTGTGGCACAGGTAAATCTACCTTCCTGTCCATCCATCCGTCTTTCCTTTGCTGTTTGTTTGCTCTATATCTCCATCTTTCTCTTTTGCTATTGCTTTTTCTCCTGCCCCATCATTTATTTAACAGACAGCAAATGCAAAAAAATTTACCCATATACTGTAAAAAACATTTTTTTTTTTAGTTTATTAGAGTACACTGTTCTCTGTTGAGTGAAAATTGTTTCTACACCAATTTCTTTTCAGTGACAAGAAAATACTATTTCAGTGTTTCTGTTTTTTGTAGTTGTTACCCTAGTGAAAAATAAATATACTTAAATGTATTTGAAATACATTTATTTCATGCTAAGTATACTACAAATGCATTTTCATATTTATGTACTTAATAAAATTATTATACTAAACTGGTATACTTAAATTCTGCTAAATTGGAACAACTAATTTTGTACTTAATGCATTTCAATTGTGTAGAAGTAGTGCTGAAGTACAATTAAAGATATACTTAGTACATTTTACTGTGCTAAAGTGGAACTATTACAAGTATACTTCAGGTACACTTTAAATATTTTGCATTTAAAGTCCGATATTATTCAAAGATCATACAATCCTCATCAAAAGTGACATTAAAACACATTTTACACTTACTATTAAGAAAAGTGCATTGTGCACAAGTATTATGCCAAGTAAAGTTTAATGATAATTTTTATATCAGTAAATCTCGAGTTATCTGTCAGTAAATATGTTAATAGATTTGAACTATACTTAGAATTAAATAAATGTATTTTAAATATATTACTTTTTTACTAGGGTATCTTTACTAGAAATCTGTGAGTTAAAATGTTCAAGATAAAATCTACACTGCATATGTACATTTTAATGTAAACTAAACAAACTCTCTTTTTAATAAAACAAATACAAAACTAAATGTGAAACAATTAGTTGACATAATAAAAGTCACTTTATTTGAGCTTTCCTGCAATGACACTACTGAAAAATATAGCTAAATAATGAACACCCACCGATGCTTTTTCATAACTGCTTTTTTTTAAATCAGATTGTTCTTTTGTATATTTTATTTTGCTGTCAGATTTACTTCCTCTGCTATTTATGTTTTTCATTTTAAAGGGATAGTTCATCCAAAAATTCAAATGCTGTCATCATTTGCTCACCCTCATGTCGTTCCAAACCTGTATGACTTGATCTTTCTAGCAAAACACAAAAGAAGATATTTTGAAACATGCTGTTAAACACTGGTTCGACTTCGGTTTGACTTCCATTGTATAGACATTGAGACATTTCTTAGAATATACTAATTTATGTTCCACATAAAAAAGAAAATCTTACAGGTTTGGAATGACATGAGGATACGTAAATGATGATAGAATTTTCCGTTTTTTTTTCTCTTACAGTTTTCCTCTGATGAATGAATGTGTTTATGTGCATGTTTGTGTTGTGAGTTTTTTATAGGTTTGTTATTTTAAAATATGTTGTTTGAGAAGAGTCACATGCTCACAAGTACTACTGAGTTTTTTTTCTCTTACAATTTTCCTCTGATGAATGAATGTGTTTATGTGCATGTTTGTGTTGTGTTTTTTATAGGTTTGTTATTTTAAAATATGTTGTTTGAGAAGAGTCACATGCTCACAAGTACTACTGAAATGCATTCTCTCCTGTGCCTGTGAATTGGCTTTTTATTTATCTTCTTATTTGACCTAGGATCAGCATCGGTGTGTTAAAAATGCTGTGTTGTCAGTAAGTGATGTCCTTTCTTTTCTCTGATCCAAGTCGCATGGATAAGCCAGAATGAACACCAGAGACTGCTGTATTGTGCTCAGATTTGTTCAAATTCACCCCAGGCTGTGTCAAAGGAAAGGAGGCGTGGCGATCCTGGACAACATAATAGACAGGGCTTCTTGTGACCTGGTGCCACGTGCAGCCTTTCTGGATCTGTACTGTTTTGTTCCCTGGCTTTTGTTGGGCTCCTCTTACTGTGGGGCCCTGGCACTTTTTTATTCTTACAGGAGGTCAAAGTTCATTTTCATAGTCCTTCAAGGTGGGATTGAGAGATGTGGAACCCTCGTTGGTCACGGCTGTTTTTGCACATGCGCGGGGGGGGAAGGTTTTGATTGTAGCGCAGCACGGGAGTGTTACACTTCTTTGTTCCCGTGGATCTCACTCTTCTCTTTTGTTGTCTGCTCTCTTTCAGTCATCCCTCTATCTCTCACCTTCCAAACTACCTGACGGGACTTCAAGGTAAGCTTCCCTTTCATTCTTATATCAGCTTTTCTCACTCAGGCTGTTTAATTTCTCAGAGAGATGCCTGTTGGATATCCATTGGAGGACAGAACCTGAGCATCCTCAGTCTAATTTAATTTACTCCGGTCTTAAAAGCTCTGCCACTGTTTATTTTTTTGCTGTGTGTATATATATATATATATATATATATATATATATATGAATTTGACATCCCATACTGTTGTGTGTATTTGAGTATTAATTGTTCGTACCCCCTACAGCTCAAAAACACTTGCTGTTCATATGGAATCTATAGAGTACAGGATATGGGAACCCATATTTAGGACTATTTAATGGGTAGAAGATCCTGTATTCAGAGTGTCATTGTCAATATAAGTAAAAGGGTTTATTGTCCACTAGCTGAATCATTTTGGGTGATGTTTCCATTTTCAAAAATGGCATAAATAGCTTAGTCATTTGTATTATAAAATTACACAGCTAGTCCCTTAATTATGTATTTTAAATGTTTTATAAAATGTTCCATCAAAGTATTCAGTAATTCTATAAAACTTTAAAGTCATTAATAATGTTTTCCTTTGGTTATTTTATTTCATTATTGATCTGGGATTTTTGGGGATTCTTAGTTCTGCAAGTGACTACAGGAAAAGGCGAAAGTCGGAACCATCTGTCACTCAAGCCAACACAGGAAGTGAGCAGAATGCCAGTCAAGTATTTTCCCGCCCACTGGACTCCAATAAAGCACAGACACTGAAGAAGCCCACCATACGTTCCTCGCCCTCCTCACCATCCAGACCCAAAGGTAATTTCAGACACACTCAAACTCGAACAGAAGGTGCTAGACTGATCAAATCTTGTTGAAGACATTTAGATTATGCATTATTGTCTAATGACATATTACATTAGCACTCCATTATTTTGTGCAGAGGAACTGTTTGATGGATTTGTTCTGTTACCATTCTACCTGTATGTTTAGTTTGATTTGTGCCAGAAACCGAAAAGACCGATTGTTCTATCATTAGATCATCACATTTGTGGTTATACCTGTGTAAAATTTTTGTAGAAGATCGTAACTGCGTGAGACTGCATATTCTCCTCTGTCTATCTTAACTATACTGATACATTCTCACTAACTGTCACTTTTACTGATATGTTTTCTCTCGCTTTGTCATTTTCTGTCAGCTGAGCTCACTAACCAGCTTTCCTGTCTCCTCTTTGTCATGCTGCATTGGATGTTATTTTAATTCACAGCTGGAGACGCTAGTGAGTCACTCTCCTCCTGTATGAGCTCTCCAGGTATGGAGCGCCCTTCCTCTCGTCTCTCCTCAGACTCCCTCACTATCTCCACACCAACCTGGCGTGGCTCCAAGCGCTCCATCTGCTTCAAGAACGGTTGGCAGACAGGCCGACATGAAGCTGCGGAGACTTGGAGTAGCGTTGACGATGAATCTGTCATCACTCCTTCATCACCACGGCTCAAATCACGCAGCTGTGATGATTTGTTGTCTGACGGACATGGTGCTAATAATGACGGGAGAGCGTCCGCTTCTGTGACTACCACTCGCTCTGAAAGTGCAGGTTCATTGCTTGATGAAGACGCTCCACAGAAGCCTCAAGTAAAAAGTCTTACCTCATCTCCCAGGGGGCGCCGACATCACCGGCGTAAGATGCCACACGATGCTCCGGGTTTCCTTCAGCTCTACAAGAAAATGCACCACATAGACCGAGAGCAGCTATTGCCCTCAGAGGTGATTCGTTCTGTACGTGCACGAATCCTTGAACTGGAACGGCTACAACAACAACAAAGGCACAACCTCCACGGTTGGGCTCCTTTCGGTAATGAGGTACCACGACACATGGTCCCAAACCGTATATCGGAATATGAACAGCTCATCCAGAAATCCAAGTCCATGCCAGACCTTGGTGACGAAAATGCCCCATCAGGCACCACCACACCAGGGTCCTCGAGGGCCAGCAGCTGTCCCAAACGACGCTTTTCTGTGGAATCACTTTTGGAGGAGGAAGATCCTCCAGAAAGGGCTCAAAGTCCCCCTGAGGGACAGCCAAGACCGGGACCAGACAGCAGTAGCCTGGTGCCAATTCATGGGAAGAACCAGAGGCAGCATCAAGACTACTCAGACAGTGAGCAGGACGCCTGTGCCTCCGAAATGAGTGACATCCACATAGAAGGGTCTTCACTGTGTAGTGAGAGTGACCTGGATCATTGCTCACTTACCTCATCAGAAAGCTTCTTTGGTTCTGGGCGACATCACCATCATGGTCACCATCATCATGGACACCGTTACCACCGCCACCATCACCTACACCAGAGTGTGGGTCAGAGTCAAGGTTACCAACACCGCCACCTCATCAGCTCCTGTAAGGGTCGCTGCCCGGCATCCTATACACGATTCACCACCATGCTAAAACATGAGCGACAACAGGAAAGGGCTCGGCAGGAGTCCCACCCTGCCGCTACATCTCCACTAGCCCAACAGTCACCCAGTGAGTCAGGCCTTTCCAAACTGGCCTTCCTGGTCAGCCCTGTGCCTTTCCGCCGGAAACGAGGCTCCCCGCCAACCCAACGGCGACACTGCAGAAGCGGTCGGCCGAAATCCAAAACCGCAATTTATGAGGCTTTAGATGTCGCTTTGCAGGACATTTATGACCACATAAGGGCGGAAAGGGGGCAGGGACCAGCAAGAATGCCAGATGATAGCATATTGCGGCGGTTATTGGAGGAGTTGCTACCAGACGTGCCCAAGCGTAGCTCCTCCTTGCGGGCTCAGAGAGGGTCCGGCTCCCCCTCCTCGCTCCATGTCCACCAGCCTTACCATGGAGCCCACCAATGTGCCTCCTACCAGCAGCAACACCACCATACAGACGCCTCCAACAACAACCAGCATAATGCTAATGCTAATGTGCACTGCTACTCAGGTGCAGCTAGTTCTCAAGAGTTTTCCTTTTGTTTCGAATCATTATTGCAACATCCTCACGTCATTACCTCAAGCATTCCCTACCGAAAGCATGCAAGTGCTTTTACTTATTTTTCACCTAAACAGAATGCTTTATTATCATGGCACCTAGTGTCCAATTAGGTATTGGAATATCTTACTATTTATGTAATTATACAGTATAGTATATTTAGATTGACTGACTTTATTTTTTTTTTTTTGACTTTCTGTGTTCATATATTGAAACAGAAAGTTTGAACCGTAAATAAAGAAGTCAACTCGTTTTTTGGGAAATTCTCATTCTAGAAAGTTTTTGATTGGACAAAAATCAGTTTTCAATATTTTTGTTCTTTTTAGAGTACATTAGTTAATAGTTAACTTTAATGCTAACACAAAAGCTCTGATTATGAATACATGGAAGATTTTATTTCATTCTGTTTATTTATAATGGTACAAGTGGAAAAGAAGTATTAGCAGTTCATGGGGCAATAAATGTCGGTATATGCATGATGTGTTTTTTTTATTTTGTGCCCTTGCCATTGTTTTTTTTTTTTGTTTTTTTTGCTGATGTATGAAATACTGTTGTAAAGACACATATTTGCTTTCTTTGTATGTACTGTATTTTGTATGTATTTTTTCTATGGTTCTGTGATGACTAATATTTAGGCCATTTTTAGGTCAAGTGCATGCCATTTTATGTCATATTGTGTATATCCAGATCATCCCTTATTTTTTTGTTTGACCCTAAATTTGAAATAAATAACTGTATAATTTTTAAGTATTCTCATTTCCTTTTGACACCAGTGGAATGCATGTGGTGCCACTATGAACTCAATAGTTTTCTTTCTGTTGACGTTTTCTCTGTTTCCACAGATCAGGGCTCTGATACAGGACGTCTCACACCACAAATCAGAAGACCCACGCCAGAAAGAGAGGTAGAAATGCTGCTTTACTCATATCTATTTTTACATGAACTAGTTTTCATTTAATTAGAACAATGTTTTGAAACCTGCAGGGCAAACATCACTGATTAGTGAATAAGTATATGGCGATCTTAAATCCTGAATCCTTATTGCACTATGCCATAAATCCCATGACCCTGTAACCTTCATTTTGGTTATGGTCTGTATATGGCTTGGCTGTGCATATGTTGGATAGCTGATGGTCTTTTTGCTTGCCTCGTAGGTATCCTCTAAGCAGATGACCTATCTTATATTGTCTTCTCTCCTCCATCAGAAACAGTCTGCCAGGGCTATTTATGATTTTAAAGCTCAGTCTGCCAAGTGAGTATATATAAAGAAATCTGAGAGACT